CACCTTTTCCTTGAGCTGAAAGCACAACTTTCAGGTCTTTGTCCTGATCCTGTTGACAGCAAACTTTTATTTTATTGAGAGAAAAGGTCAAATAAAAACAGTGTACTGCTGCTTTGTTAGATTTTATACTCTAATGTCAGCTCAGCTGCTTCAGGATTTGTGTTTTGGTTTTTTTACCATTTCTGTTTTTTAAACAGAAGGAATAATATCAGTTTCAAAAGCATCCAGAGTTGTTCTGCGAAAGCCTTAATCTCTAAGAACACACATTTGTATAGAGAAAGCAGAAACAAATATTGTGTTTGTTGTGGAGCTGTAGCTGCTGCTGAGGTTATTGTGTTAGAATTAGGATGGATTTACTCGAGCTCGGCTGCAGATGGTTGTTCCCCAGCTCATTGTGAGCGAGCGTTTCTTTGCTTCATCCTTCAGAGCCCTGAGGGATCCACTCAGTCTGTCGCCTCCTTGTCCTCCTAAAGCCTCTTTTCTCCTCCGGAGCCTCCAGCTGGAAGCAGCTTCCACTTCCTTCATGCGTTTCCTCGTGTTGCTGCTTTCAGCTCAACAGATGAATTATGGAGGAGAGAACAGAAACACTCCAGCGTTGAGAGCATTCTCCTTGTTGAGTCATTTTATTTATTCAGATGCTTTAACTTTCATTACATAGTAACCCAACCCCCGCAGAAGGGGGCTGCGCGCTGCTGGAACACAAAACCAAAAGTAGCACAACCTTTACAAAAGATACGATTCTTCTTATTTTTAATAAAGCACAAAGTCCGTAGGCTGTTTCCGAAATAAGATCATTAGTGTGTGTGTGTGTGTGTGTGTGTGTGTGTGTGTGTGTGTGTGTGTGTGTGTGTGTGTGTGTGTGTGTGTGTGTGTGTGTGTGTGTGTGTGTGTGTGTGATTATGAAGAAGGATAAAGTTTTTGCCGGGTATAAATACATTTAGCAGTGTTTGAGTATTTGGTAATCAGCTTCTGAATTGATTTGACTCTTAATCAGCTGCTGGGTTGTTTCTCACTGACTCTAAGCTGTAAGGAATTCATCAAGGGTCAAACATCCAAGCAGTAATTAAATTCATATCATGGCTATATGTTCCCTGAGTTAAGGGAATTATTTGCATAGATCTGCAAAACTATTGTGAACTTTGTGTAGAATCTGAAGGTGTTCAAGTGTCCTCCCAGTAAAGGCTTCCAGGAAAAGTTGAAAGTCCCACACGCTCCATAAAAAAACAGGATATCGATGAGACTGGGAAAAAAACACACCTCGGGGGATTTTTTTTTTTATCATTGTTTCTCCATCTGTAGGACAAATGGGAGGATCCATCACTTTTATATTTTATCACAATTATTTTGCTGACTGAACTGGAGGCTACGAGTGTTGCTCACTTGAGGGAACTCCTAAACTTCAAGACTTTTTAGTTTAAAAAGTCCGATTACGAGCTTTATTATCCACCAAGTTCTCAAACTGCTTCACAATGAGGGTCAGGGACAAATGCATGTGTTTAAAACCAACATTAAATCATTTCATCCTTTTTACAGATTCTGATTGCAAAAACACAACACAACACGGCCGCTCCTGCAAACAAGATTATCAGGGCTTCACTTTTCACCTGGAAGGAGACGGAGACGTTTGGACTAGTTATCCATACGTGTCGAGGAAAACAAAAGTAAATGCAACACTGGAACAACGTTCAACTGTAATGTTCAGTAACATAAATGTTGTTTTAGTATCGGACATTTCAGACGCAGACTAACATGCCAGCTATAACTAGTTGGGACTGAAATCCGGCCGTAAGAATGGTTCACTTCTCTTCAAAAAAGACAGTTTTTCTGTTGTGTAGCTGTGACTCGGTGGCGGCCATCTTCACTCCAGACAGCCGACTCGTCTCCCCCATGTGGCTTTAAATATTTCAGCAGTAAGCTGCAGGTTTTAGGTCAGTGTGTCAGTGTGTGATCTGCTGTGACAGGCTGTAGCGAGGAGACCGTCTGAGCAGGGGGAGAAGAGATGATGGAGTAAAACAGACTACAGCAGCAGTAGCTCAGGTGGTAGAGCGGGTTGCCCCATGATCAGAGGGTCACGGGTTCGATTCCAGCTCCTGCCAGGGGTATCCTGCTGTTGTGTCCTTGGGCAAGACACTTCACCCAACTTGCCTGTGTTAGTGGTGGTCAGAGGGGCCGACGGCGCCAATGGCAGCCTCGCCTCTGTCAGACCTCCCCAGGGCGGCTGTGGCTACAAGTAGCTTACCATCACTAGCAGTGTGTGAATGTGTATCTCTCGTGTTACGTGACCACTGTTGTGATGTAAGTTTGTTCCATTTAACTGTTTTCTTTGACCAGGGAAGGAGAGTGTCCTCGTAAGCAAAGAGCCTGTCGCCTTGACATTGAGAAACACCCGATCTTTTATATAGTATCTCTCAAGATAAAAAATCACAAGGCGCTTCATAAAAACAAAAAATTCAAATATAAAAAAGATTTCAAAAATGATTACAAATATGTTTAAAATGAGAAAAAAATTGGTATTAAAAATGTAAGGAAAAGGAGAGAGGAAAATTCATAGGAAAGAGGGAAATCAGTGAATCCCGGGAAAGTCGGAATAGGTAGAGCAGAAAAAGAGGAGTTTGGTGATGAGGGTTACGCTAAGCCAGCTTGAACAGGTGAGTTTTCAGCTGCTTTTTGAAGGAGACCACTGAGTCTGCTGACCTCAGGCTCAGGGGGACAGACTTCCAGAGTCTGGGGGCCACACAGGGACCTTTTCTTGGAGCAAATGATCATTACATTCAAGGGAAGGCCAACTCTGAAGATATTCAAGCCCAAAAAATTCTGACCAATATTGCCAAAAAAGCATTTAACTTGAGTGAGGCCAATATAAATATAAAAAAATATACTCTGGCCCATAGACAGCTGTCAGTGGGGTGGCGGGATCTACGATTGTCTTTCAAAATATTTCTGTGCGCTTTTGGACATCAAACAACATAAAAAACTCACTGCTACGGATGCCAGTCAACGGGCCAGTCTGCCACACTCAGTTGAAGAATATACAAATACATCCTTTTTCTAAACAAAGGACTTAAGTACCTCTATCTGCTCTTGAATCAAAGAAAAGTCCAACTCTAAACAGTCCAAACCCATTTCAAACGAGCCATCTCCATCTTGGTTTCGCTCAGTTGCACTAACATCCCACCCACCAAACCGACTGAGCGCTGTGATTGGCCAGCCACCAGACTGGCCGGTGCTGCAGAGGTTCCTAAGCAGCGTGGTTAGACTGACATGCAGAGCAAAATCATTTTGCTTCTGTACCTGACGGTCTAGATTTCTAGGCTAGTAGTGATTGCCAGCAGAAGGTTCTAGTGTCTACAGTCCTGTTGCTGCAACATCACACACCATGATGCTCCTTGAGCTGATCCAGCACTCGGACATTTAGTGCTGCTGCTAAAAATAATCATATTTCTTCTGTGAAACGGTCATGATGACTAGTTTTTCAAATATTACATATTGTGTCATTCCAAACTACAATCAGTGTGTTTTAACTAATTTCAGAGGTTAAGTGTTATTCTGAGCTAGCTGAACTGGATCTTTTTGAGCAGCAAAGATAAACCTCGGGCTGACTAAAGCTTAATACATTCGAGAAATTCTGCATAAAAAATGAAATTATTAAGCAATAACAGTAACATCGTCTTATTTTCTGTCTTTCAGCATCATCACCAGGTGTGAAGAAGACACACTCCTGTGAGTTCATTTTTATTATAACATTTAAAATGAATGCATTTCATCTCTGATCATCAGGACGTTTAGTTATTTTTTATTTCAACTGATCTGAGTTCATTTATGGTTTCTCCACGAGATTCAGCAGAACTTGACAAGCACCTGAGATCTCCTATTTGTTTTGAGTCAAGTCTGTTCAGTCAGGACAACATTTAAAACATGCAAGACCCTCGGTTGTTGGTCCAGACACGCTGAAGCTCAACAAGCACTTAGGTCCAAATATATGGTAAATGGCATGTATTTGACATAGTGCCTTCTAGAGTCCTGGAACCCCCCAAAGCGCTATACAACACAGTCAGACATTCATCTATTCACACCCTGGTGGTGATGAGCTACGATGTAGCCACAGCTGCCCTGGGGCACACTGACAGAGGTGAGTCTACAGTACACAGGCACCGTTGGCCCCTGCAAGCCCCACCAGCAGGCAAGGGGGGTTAAGTGTCTTGCCCAAGGACACAATGACAGCGACAAACTGAGTGGGGCTCGAACTTGCAACCTTCTCATTAAGGGGCAAGCACTTGACTCCTGTGCTACAGTGGCATCATAGCTCCCTGTGGATCTCTGTCCAACTCGGCTAGATTAAACTATGTTGTTGTTTACCGGAAGCTATAATAGTTGTTCAATGTTAAAGAAAAGCTCATTAATGATTTTAGCTGATCTGGTTTCTCCATAAAAGTCCACATGTTTTAGGTAAAATCAATGTAAGCAGCAGGGTTTGATGCAACCGTTGCAAACTGTGTGTGACAAGTAAAACTAAGAGTTTTTTGTCTGCATAAAAACATTTGATGATCTGAGAGGAGTGTGTCGGATTCTTTAGACTTGTGCTGCTGGCTGCTCGACTGGTTTCTGCTGAAGCTGCGTCTCTGTGGTTTCTTGCTGCATCAGCCTATTATCTTCCTTTTGTCTTTCTTTTTTCCCTCCTGTTTATTTATTCTGTCTAAACTTCATGTGAACTACAGGGAACTAGAGGGAAGCGGTGCACATTATTTTACAGGTTGTGGCACCTATTAGTGCAATGGGAGATCACAGTTTTCTAACAGCTGGCAAAACATAAAATTGCCTTTTTATAAATGACAATCACAATTTTTGGGGGGAAATTGTTATGCATTTTTTAACTTTCTAGGATGTTTTTGGAGCCTCTCCATGTGTTTTTCTTAGAACTGAGTTGTCAGATTGTGTATTTCTTTTCTGTTGTTTTGCGTGACTTTATTTCATTTTATGATTTCTGCTCACCCGGGTCTGCATCATGGAGGCAGTGGATCAGACTGCAAACCCCTCCAGCAATCTATACAGTTTCTCTGGTAGGACCCCAAGTTGTTCCCAATCCAGTCTCTAATCTCTCTAGCATGCTCTGGGTAGACCTGCGGTCTCCTTCCCCTGGACACCTCCCCGGGAAGATAAGCAGCTGAAAATGGATGGATAAATGGATTCTTGTAAAATGTGTATATTTTGTGAATATGTGTAAAAATAAATAGATAAATTGCCAGTCACACCTGTTCTGTTGTTAAGGCTTTGAGGTCCATTTTCTGATTGATCCAGCTCACAAGCCCAACAGCTGAATTAGAAAAAAGTAGCCCAATCAGATCACAGCTCATCAAAGCTGAGCCAATCAGAATACAGAGCTAACACAGCCTTGGAACGGTCCTAAATCAGTAATAAATAGTGTTTGCTTTATCCCATTTTCTTTGAATTTTGTTTTTTTGTACTAAGTCAAAAAGTACAAAAACAAATGACAATGTAGCAAATCAGAACACAGTACTCAACACAGCTGAGCCAATCAGAATACAGAACACAGAGCTGCACAGTTGGGCCAATGAGCTCTGTGTTCTGATTGGCTTGTAGAGCTGTGGGTCTGGCTGCCGGAGGGCGGGGCCAGAGTGATGACGGTCTAGTCACATGGAGCTCATGCTGCTCAGAGCAGCCAGAAGATGACAGAACCAAGAGAGCTGCTGCAGATCACACACACACACACCGCTCTCTTTTCCTCTCTCCATGCATCTGGACTATAAATATGTATTTTGTCATTTCTGCCATGAAAGGTGAGTGAAAAGCTGCTCTTTTCCATCTTCCTGCTTGTGGTGTTCAGGAATTCTGTTAGAGATTAGTAGTTATTCTGAAGGATGCTTGACTGCGTCTCTTGTTGTTTTGAACCACTTCCTCTTTAAAAACACCACATGTCACCATCTCTGTCTAACGCAGAGCCCTGTTCCACGTGTGGGACGTGTGTGTGATTGTTGACAGTGAAAACACCAGACACTGCTATTTTGGGAGTCAGATGAATGTGACTTTAAAGGAGTGTGATGTGAGACGAGTGTGTTGGACGGATTGAGGATGTGAGACGTGAGTGTTCTGGAAGAGTTGAAGCTGTTGGGAAGAATGAAAAAGTGATATTTCATGCAGCAAGTACCCTACTAATCCCCTGGGTTTGTTTACACTAAAGAGAAGAGTTTTTTATTTTTATTTCAGATCTCTTACTCTGATTTAACACTTGAGTTCAGACAGAATTATCTCAACAACTTCAGGTTCAACTCTTGTGTTTATTATAATGTTCAGAAGGAAAAAACATCAGGGTTAAGACTCTTTGTATGTTCTCCTGAGGAAGGCGAGGTGCAGATTGGAGGAGATGAGTACAAACATCTCCCTTTCTGTTATTCTGTTGGGCTTTGTGCATCTAGTAGTGCTGCCTTTGTCCTTTGTCTCCTGTTTTATTTTGTCCTCCATCTCATTTTTTTATTTGTGTGTGTGTGTGTGTGTGTGTGTGTGTGTGTGTGTGTGTGTGTGTGTGTGTGCGTGCGTGTGTGCGTGTGTGTGTGTGTGTGTGTGTGTGTGTGTGTGTGTGTGTGTGTGTGTGTGTGTGTGTGTGTGTGTGTGTGTGTGCGTGCGTGTGTGCGTGCGTGTGTGTGTGTGTGTGTGTGTGTGTGTGTGTGTGTGTGTGTGTGTGTGTGTTTTAGTCACTTTAAGTGTTTCATTTTGTCAACATTATTGATTGCAGTGTAAAATTCAGTCTTTGGTTCCATTAGTCTCTTTCCAAGTATTTCGCTTATCTGATGGCACCATCTAGTGGCTGAAAAGCGCATCACACAAAAAGTCTGTCGCTCTGTTTTTTAAGATGGCAACTTCACGTTTCTAGTTCATAAATGTGCTTCTGTAGCCGACAAATAGAGCTAAAACACGCTGTTTTACAAGTATTATTCTCTTGTCATGCTCTGTTCTCATATATTTATATTTTAGAGACTAACTTGTCCTTGAAATGTTCATCAACTCTGCGTCAGCCGAGGTATTCCTTAAATTTGAAGCATCTAAGCCGTAGTCTAACGCTATTGGTTAGCTCTGGTCTGCTCTCAGTTTCCTATTGCCCGGAGCTCTGCGGGGCAGGGGGCGTGCTTAGCAAAAAATAAATAAAAAGACATATTGCTTACATTATATCACAGTACATGATAAGATAATCACTTTTACAGATTTCTGAAAAACCATACATAATTTCTGAAAGTAGAAAACTCCAGAAAGTTACTTGAATATGGAACAATTTAATAAAAAGCTGTATTTAAAAAAAATAATCCCTCCATGGAGCACTGTAGAGGTGTGCAGAATTAATGTACATCACTTCCTTTAAAAGCCATTTTTTCATTTAAAAATAATCAATCATTTATTTTGACGGGCACAACACTGGGTCTGTGTTTACATCTACCAGCCAATAGAGGGTGCCATTGCAGGTTGCCATTAGTCCACTTGGCACAGCGAGGCTGGCACTGTGGAAAATGGTGGACTCTGCAAGTCAAGCAGCTTCTTCTGAGCCCAGAAGATGTTCTAATGTTAAATACTGTTGTTAATATAAACTTATTAGTAGAAATTAGCCCTTATCCTGCGCAGTTCACCACTGGACCTTGTGTTAGCCTCCTGACAACTGGAAACTTTATTCTATTGTTGCAACTACAACCTCCACACACTAGATGTCGCTTTGGTGTTCGTGATCCATATGCAACCTTTAATGTTCTTGTCATTCATGTGGGGGTCTTGCTGTGTTTATTGTGTCTGTTGTTCTGTTGTCACCAATCAGAGACCAGTTTTTGTAAATATAATTCATTTAGTTTTCTTTTGAACTGTATACATTTTCATGTGGTCATTTACCTCTCGTCTTCTGTGTGTTTAATTATAAAATCAATCAGTTATCCATAATCTTAACTTAATCATTATTAATTTTTTGGTTCTTGTTTGTTTTTATAATATTTGGTCAGTTTTATTTTATATTTTTTTAATATTTAAATGTTTTGTCTCCTTTTGTTGATTCTTTGCCACTTCACAATCCTTCCCTTGGTTGTTTTCATTTGTTTTCAATCATTATGTTGAAATGTTAGGTTTCTTTTGCAAAGTTGTTTTTGTAGTTCTGATTAACAACAGGGGTTGCACAGTGGCACAGTGGTTAGAGCTGTTGCCTTGCAGCAAGAAGGTCCTGGGTTCGCTTCCTGGCCTGGGATCTTTCTGCATGGAGTTTGCGTGTTCTCCCTGTGCATGCGTGGGTTCTCTCCGGGTACTCCAGCTTCCTCCCACAGTCCAAAAACATGACTGTTAGGTTGATTGGTCTGTCCAAATTGTCCTTAGGTGTGTGTGAGTGTGTGTGTGTGTGATTGTTTGTCCTGTTTCTCTGTGTTGCCCTGCGATGGGCTGGCTCTCTGTCCAGGGTGTACCTAGCCTGATTGTCCATTGACCGCTGGAGATAGGCACCAGTGACCACACGAGGACAAGCGGGTTCAGAAAATGGATGGATGGATGATTAACAACAGTGATTTTATTAGTTACTCAATAATTAATGATTAGAAATCCTATAATTGTGGGACACATCATCAGTAGTGGGCCCTTTGGCTGGCCTTGTTTTGTGCCTTTGAGCCAATCAGGTTTGTTGGTTTTACTTTAGAACTAAACATTTTAGTAAACTTGTCCGTTTTCTCATTTATGTTTTCATCTGTTTTTAACGTTTTCAGAACCCTGCTGACTTTAAATGTTTTAATATCCCTTTTTAAAGTTTCTTGTTGTTGGCAGCTCTTGTGTGGTGCCACCTGGTGGTGTGGTGGAGGTACTTCTCTATGTCAGCGATGTGGATGAAGGGCCTTTAATTGTCTTGAAACTGTCCTAAAACAGAAATAGTACCAATATGTGTATTTTAAAAACATTTTATTTGTCCCATTGTCCTTTCCTTTTGTTTTGTAATAAGTCAGGAAAAAAATAGGATAGAGCTTGTTAGCAGCAGCATGTTAGGCTGGACCCGTCACGTACAAACGTGTGTGAGAATGTGTGTGTTTCATTGCCACTTTGACCAGCTTCAGGAAGAAGCTGCAGTAGGCCTGTTGCCAGTTTGTTTTATCACAAATTACAACTGTCAGCAGATTATTTAACCGTCACTGGAAGGTGTGTGTGGGGGGGGGGTCTAACCCTGAAACTGAAAACATTAACACCAATAAACCTCGGTGCACAGTTCTTTGTGTTGATAATATATAATCAGAATTCCCTGAATGTTTCTCCATTGCTCCAGGCTTTAGCATCTGTTCCGACATTAAACCAAGCTGCAATGACTTTATTTGATGTTGCTTTTTCATTTTTAATTCAGATATCACTAAAAGAGCATGTTGTGAATTTAAGAGTTAATTTACTGAAGTATTTGTCAAAAAACACGAGTTGATCACCAAAAGGATAAAACATCAGGTGGCGCACCATCGTGTCGGCTGAAGCGTTTCAGGAATTATCCTGTGCGGTGTATGAAACAGAAAAATCCCGGTGGTTGTTTCTCCTGCAAGAGATCATACACTTCAGACTCTGCTAAAGGTTTCCCATGAAACTAATGACTGAATTTTACAGGATTTATCTGCATCTCTTTATAGTCTAACACCAGCTGGAATTATTCACACCCCCGTGGAAACAAGAACAAGCTGTAGTCATCCAGGAATTATTTATGTCCTTGGTTGGCTTCTGTAAGAGCTTCATATGTGCTTGTTCCTTAAGCCTCTTTATTAATGAATCCAGTTTGCTTGTGGTTAATTCAAATGTTGCGTTTCGTCACTGTCCTCCATCTTTACTCTCCTCTCTTCTCAGCAGCTTTTGTTCCAGGAAACCTTCTCTGAGAACTCAGGAGACCAGTAAGGAGCAGAAACTAAAGACGAAGACGAAGCAGGAGTTTGTTTGATTTTATTCTTTGTCCCCAACAAACCTTGACATGTTTTTAAGGCTGAGCCTCCTCTGTACCCCCCCCCCCCCCCCCCCCTCTCTTTGATCTGGCCTTTGTGAGGCATTATTATTTCTGCTCTGCTTCAGATAATTTATCCATCAGGGATTCGTTTTGCTTGAGCTTTAGCATTCCCGGAGTAAACAGCAGTGGCTGTGGTGAAGTTCTTCCAGCTCATTAGCTTTCACTTAGCTCCACTATCCTGCTAATTACACTATCTCCTGTGGTATCTGAGAGCAGCGTCCGCAGGGACAAGTCTGCAAAGTTTACGTGTTCATCTGCAGCTTTAATACCGGCGATGGGGCTGCGGTGCGACAACAGGGGCTCATCAGATCACATCACTGGCTATACACAGGGGTCATCAAAGGTTTATGATGAGAAATGACTCAAAACCTTGGATCGGAGCTTTTCCTTTTATAAATGAAAGTGCTACACACTTGAATTTGCATAAATTATATTGTAAAAAGTAGTTAATGTGTTGTTATCCTGATCACTGTTGTTAGGGTTAGGGAACTAAGACTGGTAAAGCGTAAAGTCTACGGGGTCTGACCAATCAGAAAAATGTTCTTACATTTGTTCATCCAAACCCCAGACATGGTTTGGGTTTTGTTCTGTGTTGAGCTTGGTGCTTGGTGGTATGGACCTCCCCCACCTCCCGTCACATCACACACACAGGACAGGCTGCAGCCAAAATACCGACTTAATTCTGTGTGTTGAGTTGTGTCACCTCTCAGTGTGAGATGTCATGATTGGTGTGTGAGTGTGTGAACGTGTTACAGTGTGAGTTTGACTCCTCAAACATGCCTCTTCAGTCTGTTTGTACAT